CACCCGGAGCCTGAGCCTGCAGGAGAAGGACATGAGCCCGGGAAAGGAGAACCACCGTCCACCCGGCCATACCCTTCGCCTTTAGCGGCCAAGAAGCAGAAATAGTCAGGAACCCTTCTTCTTGCCCCCAGGAGGTTTCTTACCCTTCCTACCCTTCCCCTTGTTGCCGTTGAAGTGAGGTTGGGACTTGGGCTGTGCAGAAAACTGAGCAGCCGAAGACTTCGCCTTCTTCTTAGGAGGCACTGACCCCTGCGAGGCACTGGCCTTCTCAGCCTGAAACCTCTTCACCAGAAGTGCTGAGGCGACCGAGTCCTCCTTCATATCCTTCTGAACCCAAGGAAGAGCTCCCCTGAACAGGGTAGAGCCCTAGAAGGGGGCATTCAACAAGCGGAAACGGTAGGGTTACTGGACTGGGCGGAATTTCAGAACTGAAAACTGCCTAGCCAACACGGCATTGACGAGCAGAGAACCTGCAAGGCTGCCGTGTCCTGTATGTCGGCCGTTCTGTCTCGGATAACCGACACTCAGGCAAATCGGATACCCTGTATAGACAAACTGTCAGGAAGTCTATGTATGACAGAACTTGGATGGAGAGGTGCAACATTCTCTCCATCCTGTGGTGCTCTTTGGGATCGAGCACCACCTGGTCCACTGATTTGCCGGGCCAGGCAGCCAGCTGTCTCAACTCCAGCTGTGCTGGTTGAGAGGCCAGCTGCCCATCATGTGTGGCATAGTCGGAAGCTGAAGCCTCCGACAATTCACCAACACCGAGCTGCAGACCGACAAACCCGAGAGCACGGGTAGAGAAGGAGTCCTTCTCTAAAACCGGAGCCCGGGCCGTGGCCAGAACCGAAGACATGATATTGCCTTCTGGCAGAGACCGATCTGAGCGAACGGAAGCCCGAGGAGCCACCAGGGAACCCAGAAGGATGGTGGATTCAGGCGCCGACGATGCTGAGGCGGTGGGCAAACCTCCGCCCTGAGAATCCGGGAGATGTTGGCCCGGAGGACCCGCATCCCAGAAAGCACATGCTGAGCCTCAGCTTCAGCAGTCTCAGGGCCATCTTCCCCTTGTGAACCCTCTTGGCCCAGGAGAAAGATGAATGACATCGTCTTCCTCTGCCGAGCCCGCACCCTCGATGTCCATCTCCTCCTCAATAGAGACCGAAGTCCCCTTGGGAGGAACAGGGGCCGCCAGAGGAGCCATCTCCGCAGAGGGGAACTCCTCTTTATGGCATTTGGACGCAGCGCGACCAACAGCTGTAGCTGTAGGCTTGGGTCGGAGACCCGAAGCCGACCCCTGGGAACAGGAGACCGACGGGTCCGCGCTGGAGGCGGAAGTCCTTAAGGTCTGGCAAACCTTTATAGGACCGGCCAACAAGGCCCCCGAAGTAGCAGAACATTGGGGGGATTCCGCACTGCTATAACATCTCCTAGAGGAGAGACCAACCCCTATGGGTTCCACGAGTGAAGACCCATGGGGTAAAAACCCAAACCCCTGAGGGAATGGGAACGGTCCAGCGGGCCGGGAGTGACCCCAGAACTGGCCAAGATGGCCTGCCTGAGTCTGGGGCTGGACATCCTGTCCAAAGGACCAGGATGAACCGCCACTCCCACCAGGTGGAAACCCAGACATGTACAGGCTAAGCCCGTAACTGCTGAGTAACTGTTGGTACCCAAAACCATCCGCAGGTTGGCCTGGGCGACCCAGGAATAAGTGCCCGCAGGCACCCCTACTCCCTGAGCCCGGGGGAAAGGGAGACCGGAAACCGGACTCCTGGCCTGAAGCCCCAAACCCTTGGAGGAAAACCCCCTGGGAAACCCTGCACTGGGAAATCTGGATTGGGACGGAAGTCCCAGAGCCAGAAGCCTGTGAGGGTGGGAAAACAGACCCCGCGCTGACACCAGGATTAGTGAACTCAAGTGTCACTAATCCCCGTAGCCACAGACAATCCTGACAAAAAGTCTGTGGCCCCTGAACCTATACCCGAAGGCACAGTTCCGGAGTCAAAGCGGCCCCCACCAACGACGCCACCTGGCGTGCCGAGGTCCCTGAAGGAATCAGAGACCTCGACCGGAAGTCCCTTTCCGACGGTAACACCGCCGCCTATCGAGAGCTACCGGCCAATTCGACCCTTGACTGCGCCGAGTCAGGGTCGGGCTGCCCCCCCCCCTACTCCAGGACGCACCTGGACAGGGGGAGCCACCCCCTGCTGAAGGGCGGAGCTCGGTGGAACGAGAGCACCCCCAGCAGGAACGCTCTGGTTCAGAACTTCAGGAGGGAGGTCTTAAAAAGCTTACTTCCCTTACCGGAAGAAGAGGACGAATCCCTCTTCCGGCGGAAAGTAAGCTGGAAAGGCATGGGAGCCTAAGCAGCAGACTCCATGTGCAAACAAAGTTCACATAGTGAGGTCTGGCTGTAATGTCGGCAAATGGGACAGGTATCATGGGGTTCCCATTATCTATAGAAATAGGAACATCCATGCGCTGACCCCCGACGTAAACCCGGCACCTTTATCCAGCATCGAAACAATAAAAAATTGTAACAATGAAAACAAGGATAAAAAGTTTTCTAACAATCAAAAAACTACGAACGAGATCATAAAACCTACCGTACGCAGCAAGATTGTACTGCAAAAAAAGAAAACGGTCGTACAAAACGGCCGACAAAGCAGCAAGAAAACAATTTCAACTTCACGAAAATCCGAGTGACGAGACAAGTAGTCACTCACTCGAACACGCGGAGTAAAAACACGGCCGGAAACGAAGTTCTCGAACAATCAAAAAACTACGAACGAGAGCACAAAGCCTACCGTACGCAGCAAGATTGCACTGCATAAATAAAACGGCCGTACAACACGGCCGACAAAGCAGCAAGAAAACAAATTCCAACTTCACGCAAATCCGAGCAACGAGACAAGTAGTCACGCACTCGAATACGTGGAGGAAAAAAACGGCCGGAAATACGGTCAAAATAAACAAATGACAATACTTAATTTCACAATATAAGTTGGGAGATGGGTTTATAGACTACTAATAGAGTAACAATATACTCAAACGACAATGGCAGTACGAAGAGAAGGAGTAAGAAAAGCACTTAGCTCAGACACCTCCGCACTCGTCGGCAGCCATAAAGGTAAGAGGAAGGGAGATCACTCTGCGTTCCTGCCGTGATGGCTCATGGATCGTAGGGAGGGCGGGATTGTTTTTCTTTTGAATCTTTTGTTGTTGGGATACAAAGATGGGTGTAGGTACTGTATTTGCATACTAAAGTTATGGTAATTATTACTGAAATGAAAACTGTATTTACTGTATAGGAGAATATGTTAGATTGGAGCAGACAGTGAACATGTCTCAGAAGAGAAAGTAGAAATTTGACAGTGAATGGGGTTAACTTTATAAAGAATATTGTGTATAGGAAACATTGTTACACAAGATGGCTCCACATTGTAATATATATATTTATCAACATAAACAAGTATGAGATACATTTTAATAACCTGTTACAGATTACAAGTAAATATGTACACTGAAGGTAACATCCTACAGGGTGGTAAATAGCTATTGTAGATGGCTTGAAAAAAGTGGCATTCTCTAAAGTAAAAAGTTACATTGTAGCAGTCATGCTACATTTAGCATTTAACAGGGAAAATTATAGCATGAATGCTACAATTGCATCTAGCAATTTACCAATAAATAGCTACTTTTGCAGGCTTGCTACAGCTAGTATCCAAAAATTAAACAATAACATAATAGCAACCATGCTACAATTAGCATTTAACAGGGAAAATTATAGCATGAATGCTACAATTGCATCTAGCAATTTACCAATAAATAGCTACTTTTGCAGGCTTGCTACAGCTAGTATCCAAAAATTAAACAATAACATAATAGCAACCATGCTACAATTAGCATTTAACAGGGAAAATTATAGCATGAATGCTACATTTGCATCTAGCATTTTACCAATAAATAACCACTATTGCAGGCTTGCTACAGCTAGTATCCAAAAATTAAACAATTGCATCATAGCAGACATTTTACAAAATTTACAAATCTTAGTATGCCCGCTACAGTTACATAATGCATTTTATCAGAAAAAAGTTCAGTATATTGTGGAAGCAATGCTACAGTCAGTATTGCTTGTGTAGCAGTTAGAGCCTACTAAAGCTAGCACTCTAGTAAGAAATAGCACTTCAACTTTTTCCTTTCAACACCTATTAACATGTTGATATAATCAGATCAGAATGGCAATGTAGAAGATATTACAACCCAGAGAATAAAACAAGGTCTGATTTAATGAGTAACTGATCAATGTGAATGTCTGAAATAACTATTGTACAAACTATGGCAATATCTGTCATTTGTTTTCTTAAGTACAAGGGGCAGCAGTATCTTATTTGCAAACCTGGCAAAAAAAGCATTGAAATAAAACTTATTAGGTCAAACTTATCATTTATCAAATGTAATCTTCGTGGGAAAATATCAGGACACTATAACAGATTTTACCAAAGGTTGATTCTTAGTAGCACATACACTATTCTGAAATCTTATTTCATCATTGTTCTGTAGTCAACAAACTATATTATCACTTACCATAACATCAGCAATTAATCCTGATCTGACAACATTTACTGCTGCCTAATAAAGAATAGTTTCATCACTTCTCGATACTTTGTGTTGAGTGTCAACAATCATTATAATCTCGCAACATTTACCCTCACTTGATAACATTGTTAAAGCTCGAGAAATAATTATAGCCAGTATCTGACTATCATACCAGATCTTTATTCACAAGACTAGGGTGTGTCAGTATAATGACATCTACTGGTCAATGACTGATTAATGTATATAATTGTAAAAAGCCATCCTTTACTAATATTTTACAAACACCAGTCATCCCCCTTCCTTTGTTTACTAATATTTTACAAACACCAGTCATCCCCCTTCCTTTGTTTACTAATATTTTACAAACACCAGTCATCCCCCTTCCTTTACTAATCAATAAAGCCTTTTTTATTTGTAGTCAAAATAGGAACATACATAATTAGTTAATAGCTGTCTTATTTCAGGTGGCCAGGTGCCCCGCGAATTTACCTATCACCAGAATTCGACTCCACCAAGAGACAATAATGAAGGGGAGATAACCACTAACACTATTTAACAATAATAAAAACAAGGTACATGTATAATAAATACTAACATTATTTACATTATCAGCAAACTTTATGTAAATTAATATTTACATCATCATCAGCAAAAACAGTGTAAAATAATATCAACAAGAATAAAAATATGAACTAAAACAAGGTCAATATAGTAGCACTTTCCATAAAACCCTTCAATGAATACTTTTTTGGTGACTTTTGATACATGTTCTGCAAAATACATATTTCCTTACTGGCAAAAAACAATCAGCAATGCTTTTAATGATACGGTTTCCTTATTCTGAAGAAACTTATGTCCACACTATCAAACACACATTAAGTAGTATATGATGAAGATAAGGAAACATGTATGACACTTTCATATTTTCATTACATTCTTTCTTGCTCTAATTTGATCCTGAAACAAATATGCCCTATCTTCAGGAGGTCACTAGTGAAATATTCACTTTAGTGTTTTTTAACAATGTGTTTTTAAAGGAATACACTATATATCAATTACCACAGATTGTGTACAAATTCTTTTTCAAATGCTGATATAAATCAAACTCGGGGGGTTTGAACTGGTTGATGATAATTCTTGAATAGGATGCTGTATGTAAGTATCTTAAATCCATTAAGCATTCCTGATGTAAATTCTGAATACTAACATAAATACATAACTAATATTTCTAGATAAATTTTCTCCTTTCATTATTTCATTTGCATTGAAACCTCTAGTATGCTTCTCTGCTAAATGCATCCAACCTTCAAACACTCACCTTGGCATTCACCTAAACCATACATCAAATCTACATACACATGAACCTGCCAGTCTCCTATACAAAGCAAACCTTTCAACACTTATTGTTGCAGTCATCTCAAACACACATCAAACCTACACACAATCATAAAGCTGGTATTCCCACACACAAGTCAACAGCTGACAGGAAGCCAGACATCTAAGTCTACAAAAATATGTTAAGCACCAGGAGCTATTCTTACTCCTTGCTACATAGAGAAGAATGCACAAGGTTTAAATATCAACATGTGAGTATGACGTGGGTCATTTTTGTTTGAACATTGCTGAATACCTTTCTCTGAACGGTAATTTTTTGTCTTTTGCTCAAAACACATTACATATACTTTTTTGCTTACTTCTGCTGTCGTGTGTTCTTGATTTATAAGTACGGTGATCTCTAAATATAAGGTAATGTTGATATATGAGGTGTTTAGGTCACAAATGAACACAACAATTTGATGATGTTTTCCTGCACCATATGAACACTGGGAAAAAAATTACATGTCTATTCTAAAGTATAAATTTTGTAGTTGCAATACATGTGTATATTTTGTGCCTGTATTCATCTTCACTTTTAGTCAGTACCTATCATGGCTTCAAAAGTCAATCTTATGACAGAAATCTTGATTTTGGCTACGTTTTTCGGCAGTCTGATGACATTTTCACCAACAGTAATAATTAACTAGTGATGAAATTCTTTGCTGACTTTTTCCACAGAGGTGTTGCCATTTGCTGCATGACTCTTTCAACTGTTATCTGTTCATCCAAATTGTCTGCAGCTCTGTAGTGTACCAACAGCTCCTGAATAGCTTGTTCCTCCATCTGTCAACACAAACAAAACAAAGTTATAGCTTAGCAGGTAAAACCAAATAAAAGAAATAAAAATATTTTAAATTATAAGTTGTGTGGTCTTCAGAGAATAACCTTCACAGTACTTGTGAATGCCATAAATCTGTTATTTAATATTTCAAGCTACTAAACTTTCATTTTCTACCTTTTGAAAATTAATAAATTTATCAGCTTTCATTTTTTAAAAAATCATAGCCAGTACTTTTAGCATTGTATGATACAAGAAGTTAAATTTCTGTTGTATGTTGCGACAATTGAACATTAACTCAGTAAAGCTATTACCAACACAGAACTGAACCTTTCCTGATTTCTGCCAAGTCTTCCCTTTATCACACAACAACAATATAAATTTTTTGTCCTTGTCATCTGTTAATTCTGTTTTCTTGTTCTACAATCATCATTGTTTTGGCTTGCTTAATACAGAAGCTATTGTTTCATCTGGGAACAAATGATCCTTTCCAATACTAGATTTCCCTAGTCATCCAGCCATCTCACAGTCGAGCTTCATTTGTTTATAAAAGATAATGAATATCTAAAGGATCCATGGTAATATTTTCACTTATTGACTTAGTTCTTTAAGGAAATATAATAGCAAATTCAAAACCTGGGACAAAACTTTTTGATATACTTTGTTAATCTGTTAATTAACTTTCCAAAATAAAATCAATCTCAAGGTCTATTACTTAAAAAGGGAACAAAAATTATGCCTACTTGTATCAGACTGAGGGGTTTCTTGGCTGCCTTAGCCAGGGTCTCAGTCATCTGTTGTTCATCCTTGACAATATCAGTGAAGCACACAGAATCGCCGGGGGAGGGGCTGGTCATGACCTTTTTAGTCCAGGGATTGTCTGGACTCCTTGGGCTTGGAGGTTCTTCCCATACAGGGTCACTCTGTGGTCCCTCCTCTCGGACATGACTTGTTGGTATTCCCCAACTGTAAAATCAAAGTTCAGACTGCAATACTTAGGTTACAACGTAAATTCACATAGAAAAGCTGAAAACTTATGCTTTCATCCACATTATTATATTTCTGATGTTGACTTAACAAGTCTGAGAGGCCATTATAAGGAACTTCTACTTATGGCGCAAACCATTTGACTCCAGCATATACTCCCAACTTTGTTGTTTTTAGGTGTAATACCTGGTATACCTGACTCCAGGTTATCTTAAGCACTGCCCAATTTTAATGTCCTTACCTAATACCTGGTACTACCTTGTACTGTCCAGGTTTTGTTTGGATCCTTAGGGAGCACTGCCCAGTAGTATAATGTCCTTACCTGACTGTGGGTTTGGGTTTGAATCCTTTGTGACTACTGCCCAGTTGTATAATGTCCTTACCTGACTGTGGGTTTGGGTTTGAATCCTTTGTGACTACTGCCCAGTAGTATAATGTCCTTACCTGACTGTGGGTTTGGGTTTGAATCCTTTGTGAGTTACAAGGGCTGACTGGATGGTCTGTTTAGTTGGCAAGGGTTGTTTGACTGCTTTACTGCTGTCCTCAGACATCAAATCTCTGAAGGATTTTACAGTAGTATTCACATCACCCCTGGAAATATGCAAAACATGTTTTTCTTTTAGAAATAAACAATGCTTTCACAAAAACATCATTTAAAAGATCAATACAGCAATCTGTTCCTATGTGAAATTAGAAAAGAAAGTATAATTTTACAACAAAAAAAAGGACCATATTTTTTCTATTCTTTTGGAAAACCCACAGGTGGTTATCTTTTATTGACAAAATTCCTTTCTGCTGGACTTTCAATTTAATCAAAGAGATATAAAAAAAAATGCTTGTGTAATCATGTATGTATTGATATTGATACTCATTGCAAGGAGTCCTCCAGTAATATTCAAGTTGGCAGTGAAAAAGCAACTATTCTTCTTGTATAAAAACAATTTACTAACAATGGCTGCTTTAGGAAAATTTTCTGGTTTTCTTCAGGTGTTGTAGAAACTAGAAGTAATGAGTAAACAACGCTTACCATGGACATGTTGATTTGTTGGGTGTCTGTGGAGTTTGGGGTTCTGCTGGATTACTTCCCTTCAATGGCTGACTACTACTGTTAACTGCCACAGCTTTCTGTTGTTTCTTAGCTTCCTTCCATGAAAATTTGGAGCTGCTCTTGGCTGGACTTTTAATCCTAAGATATTAAAGCAAAAGTAATGAAATGAAACTTTTTTTTTTGAATTTCACCTATTTTATTTACAAACAATAACAATGTTAACAAAATTCACCAGGACTGAAGCTTCAGCGTGTAGCACCAGTCACAATGTTAACAAAATTCATCTGGACTGTAGCTCCAGGGTTCAACAACCAGTCACAACATTTATAGAATTCACCAGGATTGTAGCGTCAGGGTTTAACATCAGTCATAACATTAACAAAATTCACCATTACTGTAGCATCAGGGTTTAACAACCAGTCATAACATTCACAAAATTCACCAGGACTGTAGCGTCAGGGTTTAACAACCAGTCACAATGTTAACAAAATTCATCTGGACTGTAGCTCCAGGGTTCAACAACCAGTCACAACATTAACAAAATTTACCAGGACTGTAGCGTCAGGGTTTAACAACCTGTCACAACATTTATAAAATTCACCAGGATTGTAGCGTCAGGGTTTAACAACCAGTTACAACATTAACAGCGTCAGGGTTTAACAACCAGTCACAATGTTAACAAAATTCATCTGGACTGTAGCTCCAGGGTTCAACAACCAGTCACAACATTAACAAAATTCACCAGGAGTGTAGCGTCAGGGTTTAACAACCAGTCACAATGTTAGCAAAATTCAGAGTTTAACAACCAGTCACAACATTAACAAAATTCACAAAATTCACCAGTCACAACATTAACAAAATTCACCAGACTGTAGCGTCAGGGTTTAACAACCAGTCATAACATTAACAAAATTCACCAGGATTGTAGATTCAGGGTATAACACCCAGTAACAATCATAACAAAATTCACCAAGACTGTAACTCCAGGGTGTAACAATCAGTCACAACATTTACAAAATTCACCTGGACTGTAACTCCAGGGTATAACACTCAGTAACAATCATAACAAAATTCACCAAGACTGTAACTCCAGGGTATAACAACCAGTCACAACATTTACAAAATTCACCTGGACTGTAACTCCAGGGTATAACACCCAGTAACAATCAAAACAAAATTCACCAGAATGGTAGTTTCAGAGAATTTGTGAATTAGTCTATTATCAAACTAACAGTGTACAACAAACATGTATTTAACACTAATCACTCTGATGTGTGAAGCCCTATTGTCTTTTTAAAATGTGGAACAATTTGGATCAAACAGGTTTTATCTAGTGATAGTTGTATTGTCTGTGTCTAATTAGAATTTGATGATTTTTGTATAAGGACAAATACCAGGAATGGTAGTGTAGGATAAGTACTAAAAATGTGAGCGTAATTCCTTACCTCCTATTTTCTTCTTCCATTATTTCACGCAAACTGAGAGCTGAACTTGAACCTCTGGAGCAAGTCGTATCTATGGTTGGGACAGGCTGTACTTTTGGGGTGGTGGTATTCTGTGGAATAGGAGATTTGTGTGGTGTAGGAGACTTCTGCCAGGCTATTGATGATTGATGTTCTGGGGACGTCACCGCAGTTGTTGAAGCCACAGGAAAGCGGTCATGTGACCTTGACGTCAGACTTATTGTTAATGGTTTCTGACTACTATTAGATCTCTGTTTATTTTTCCTTGTCAACACTTCTTCTGTTGGTAAAATCTTCTCAACCACCTGTTTTTCTGTTTGGTTCTCTGCTACTTGACACTGAAACATAAATTCCATTAAATATTACACCTCCAGCTAAAACGGAAATGAATTCCTGTTACAGATTAGGCTAAGATTAAAAAACTATAATCCTTGTAAAATTGCAAATGGTAAATGCTTTATATACTTAATACAGTCTTGAGGGGGCTTGAAATCATTCAAAACTTTGTTCTTTGTACTTCTTCAAGATTGTGAGTGCTAACCATCTACCAGAACATGACAATGGTATGTTTAGAATCATAATACCCTGTAAGGGTGTACGTAACCAGGCTGGAGACCAGTAAATTTAGAATGGTTATGACCTGTTAGGTTCTTCATTACCGGGGCTGGAGACCAATTAATTTAGAATGGTTATTACCTGTTAGGTTCTTCATTACCGGGGCTGGAGACCAGTAAATTTAGAATGGTTATTATCTGTTAGGTTCTTCATTACCGGGGCTGGAGACCAGTAAATTTTATTACCAGAATCGGTTATTACCGGGGCTGGAGGTATTTAGAATGGTTATTATCTGTTAGGTTCTTCATTACCGGGGCTGGAGACCAGTAAATTTAGAACGGTTATTACCAGGTATCTGTTAGGATCTTCATTACCGGGGCTGGAGACCAGTAAATTTAGAATGGTTATTACCAGGTATCTGTTAGGATCTTCATTACCGGGGCTGGAGACCAGTAAATTTAGAATGGTTATTACCAGGTATCTGTTAGGATCTTCATTACCGGGGCTGGAGACCAGTAAGTTTAGGATGGTAGTTACCTGAGGGGTTCAGTGTTATCAGGATTGGTGACTAGTAAGTTTAGGATGGTAGTTACCTGAGGGGTTCAGTGTTATCAGGATTGGTGACTAGTAAATTTAGGATGGTAGTTACTCGAGGGGTTCAGTGTTATCAGGATTGGTGACTAGTAAATTTAGGATGGTAGTTACCTGAGGGGTTCAGTGTTATCAGGATTGGTGGCCAGTAAATTTAGGATGGTAGTTACTCGAGGGGTTCAGTGTTATCAGGATTGGTGGCCAGTAAATTTAGGATGGTAGTTACCCGAGGGGTTCAGTGTTATCAGGATTGGTGGCCAGTAAGTTTAGGATGGTAGTTACCTGAGGGGGTCAGTGTTATCAGGATTGGTGACTAGTAAATTTTGGATGGTAGTTACCTGAGGGGTTCAGTGTTATCAGGATTGGTGGCCAGTAAATTTAGGATGGTAATTACCCGAGGGGTTCAGTGTTATCAGGATTGGTGGCCAGTAAGTTTAGGATGGTAGTTACCTGAGGGGGTCAGTGTTATCAGGATTGGTGTCCAGTAAGTTTAGGATGGTAGTTACCCGAGGGGTTCAGTGTTATCAGGATTGGTGACCAGTAAATTTAGGATGGTAGTTACCTGAGGGGTTCAGTGTTATCAGGATTGGTGGCCAGTAAATTTAGGATGGTAGTTACCCGAGGGGTTCAGTGTTATCAGGATTGGTGACTAGTAAATTTAGGATGATAGTTACCTGTAGAGGTTCCCCACTGCCAGGACTAGAGGCCAGTAAGTTCAGGATGTTATCCAAGCTTTCCTCCTCAGACTTAACACTATGATCTGAGCTAACTGATATCTGTCGATCACGTTTCTGTGATCTAATTTGAGCTGTCTTTTCCAAATCCTCACTTAAGCTTTTCTGACGGCTTCTCCTCTTTTTTGACTTGTTCTTCTTTTGACTGCCCTCATTAGTCAATGTAGGACCTTCACTGTCCATGTCTGCTGCCAAACACTCAAGGAAGTCCTTGCTAGGGCCGTCAAAGTATGGTGTAATGATACGTCGTGACATGGCCTTAGTCTTGTTGTGATAGTAGACAGTTAGACCAGCCAGGACATCGTCACTCAGAACATCAAGGTGTCTGTTATACACAGAAAAAATAATGTTTATCGAGTCCTTCAGTGTGAGAATGAAATGGTCATTCCAACAACCTTTTCCTTTACAAATCTCAAAGTATTTGTATATTTCCCCAATTTTTATGAAAACATTTACTTATCAGTTCTTTAAAATAGTTTTTTGAAAAATTTTCCCAGGGGTTAAATTTGACTGTGCTCTTGTTTCTGCTTTTTCGCTGACTACATTTACATCAATATAATCTTATATTAGCATTTGTAATGTATTTTGAAAATAAATGTTTATGAGTAAATCCATTTTCAATGGGTACACATCTTGTTATCATGCATCACTGACTTCACTCAGTTAATCAAAATGTAGTTAAATTAATGTTACATTGTAAAGGTATATTTTCATATTCTATATTTTGTTAAATGATATTTAGGTACTATACCACTAATCCATAATATCAGTGACATTTTAAATATTTCACTGGCGTCTAGAATTCACGGATTTCAGTTGAAATGCATATATAGCGAAAAATAACTAAAACGAAAGAGAAAATGTAAAATGCAACAGCTATATAGCAGAGATGTTACGAAATATTTACATACATATCTCATTCTTAGACTTACACTACATATAACACGTCTTCTGGTCTGGTTGTATATGCTGTATAGAATGAACAAAAAACTTCAAGATTGACAGCACAAAAAACTGATAAGAAACAGTAAGCTTGATGCAAATTTGAAAACTGAAAAAACACCCAAATCAATTATCCTGTTCAACAACAACAAAAAAACCCCCAAAAAACCCAAGTCCCTTCTGCCCCTACATACCTGCCCTCAAACATGGCTGCCAGGTTGATAACGATGAATTCCTGACAAACAGCCTGCAGTTGCTGAGCGTTGTACACACAGGCAAACTCAAGGATCTCTGCCACATTCTTCAAGTTTACTGGAAAATACAATAGTGATGATTTATCAATACTTCAGACTTCAAATTTTTGTTTTTGATTTGGTTCTAGTGCCTGGGTTAATCAGGATTGCTCAATTAATGGGAAAACATTCACTTTTTTATTATGTAGTGATTTTCAAACTGAACTAGATAGATATAGGAGAAAACTTACTGAGTGTGGCGATGGACACCTCACACATCTCCTTTAGCCGTGTAATCAACAACTGATCAGCTGACACCAGAATGTTACACAGGAACTCAGCATTGTCACACTCTGTAAATGAATATTTTTCAAATTATTGCTTTTAGATTATAAAATTATGGTTTTCATTTTGACAGGAAAGGAAACAGCAGGGAGAAGTTTATCATAGTTTGTTTTACTTTTTCCAGCACAACATAGTAGCGGTAATTTTAACTTTTATAACCAAACATGATTTCCTTTATATTCTTTCGTACATTACAAGTTCATTATCGTATGTATATAACTACAAACAGATATTCAATGGTAAATATGCTTAAAATGCCTGTTGGTGACTTTCATCAAAGAATTTTGTAAAACAAAATTTCAAACTACAGAATAATCAAATTGTGACCCAAATATTATCGTGCTAAAACTGTTTTAATTATGACTTTATAAACAATGAAGAGTTTGCAGGGATGATCGATCAACTAATGGCAGATATTTCAGTCAGTATTCAGAATCAGCCATTTTAAGTAACAAATGTAAGTTAGAAATAAAATATACTGAAATAATGTGTCTTTATGAAGCTACAATAAACTGAGTGTTTGGTATTGATCATGCAACACCCACCTTCAACTACTTGGGATGTGTCTGTGTACAGAAAGTCTATAAGTATTTCCAATATGTCTCCAGGAACAGGTAGTGACAGAGAGGTCGTGTTGGATGTCTGGAAAACAAGGTTACATCATATCACCTCCATTCTATGTGAGGTACATTTCACTATATTATAACCAAACATTAGGTCTTAAGCATGTTCCCCAAGAGAGCTCAGAAGACCTAGATGGTCAATGTAATGTAAAACTGAACAACTTTTGGTACGTGACACAACATCTTCCCAAGATTTACCCATGCACAAATCTTGAAGATACAAGTTATTTTAATGATAATTATACAACCAAGAAATGAAAAATGCATCGACAACATGCCTAATACATACATTGCATTATTTTTAAACTGAGAGTGTAACAGCTTGCATCTGCTAACCGGGTGGTGCAAGGTCACCAGGGGTGATAATCAGGTATACAAAGATCTAAGAATGTGTTAGTATTATGTCTTACCTCAATCCAGCCACTGCCTAGCATGCTGTGGAAGTACTCCAGTCTGGCAACTAACACACACTTGTGACAGTGTATCACAGTGTTATCTTCTGACTGGATACTAACATCATACATATCACGCCTGTGGACACAGAAAGAAAGTTTATGTTTATAAGGTGTATTGTTGATTAGATAGAATATAATGTTGATATAACCATCTTTTTTATTTGAGATTAAAAGTATGATATTTGACCCGCAATTCTGAAAGGTAGTGAAACTATAAATCCTGAGAAATGATCAGTGTAGCATGGTGTCAATAGTAACGGTTGGAGTCCCTGATATGATCATTACATTGTACCAGGGATAATGATTATACTCGTGTTAGGATCATGTCCCCTATATGACTTCTTTGAGATTAACAACACAAATTTTTACTGAAATTTAATCCAAGAAATGTTTATTTTTATGTGTTAACTTACAGTCTCTGTCGGTCAAACTTCATCTTTGGTAAAGTAGAATGTTTCTTGGCTAGTTCAATTCCTCCATTTACATACTTCACAGTCTCCAATCTAACAACAGAGGTAAAAAAATGAACACTGAAATTTATAAAAATGATTTTACAAACTATCATAACTTCAAACAGATTTTAAAGTTTTAAAGAGGAAAATTTTGCTATATCTTTTGCTTCAACAATTTTGTATAAAATACATGATTTCAAATCTTTGTTACCTCTTCCCCAATCCTTTAATTCCAAATTTTTTGGCGGCGTCCATCAACATCCTGACAGGGTTTTTAGTTTTGGCTTTATTGCCGTTATCTTTAGTTTCCTTACTGGTACTTTTCCTTTTCTGATGAACCTCAAAGGCTGACATCTCTTTCTCTGACTTGGAGAAATAAATATCAGGACTGTTTCTCTTCTCCACCTCATTCCTGTGATCTAAGCCATCCCCCTGGCCCTGGGGTGGGGCAGTCCATGGACTCAAGTCAAACTTGGTCCCTGGGATAAGGAGGCTACAGGAGTCAGTGTAAAGGAAGGTTAGTAACTGCTCAAAGATTTCTGGATGGATGTCATTGATCTGAATAACCTGATGACTGGTCAATGAGTCTTTCTTCTTGCACTCGGCCATGAGCTTGTTGAAGTAGTCACTCCTGCTTAGTAGGATGTACTTATGGGCTGGCCATGTGTGCCCTCCTGCCTACAAATATCATAAAACTCTCTCTGAAGCAACATATGCCTCTAGGAAGTATAAAATTATTCTGACACAAGGTAATACAATCAAACATTCACTTTCCAACTTACTTAATATATGTCACAAAGACTCTCAGCATACCAGGTTATTCTATATAAATTTAGATTTTGGTCTACAGTTACATTAACCTTTTGATAAATATTTCTACAATCCAGCAGCCAATTGAACTGTCTGACACTGTTAGCATACTCTCCCCCTAGATTACCTGTATAATAATGTCATGAATCAAATCATATTCATCTGCTTCCTCCAGAAGTCCTGTAAAGTTTTCTATGAATGTTGAAGTACTGAGGCAGGGAACATCTGTGATACTGAAACAAATTACTCTTTTTAGTAATGTCACTTTGGTGAAATAGATATATTCATAAACTGTAATTTAGTGGGTACTTTCTTTCCCGGTTTAAACCACAGACACAACTACACACATAACTCTTATTCATTGCATTTCATCTTAAATCATAAAAGCCATGAAAATTTCACATACACATAACATGTCATGTTACACAGTATCACTTGCTTACAAGAGGATTTATTTTTTGACAGTAAGCAGAGCACATGGTTAGTGATTTCTAGTCTTGGGATTAAAATCCCTGAGGAGGTATTTAGAAAATGTACTCGGTTACTACTTTGTCATTGTTAACTTTTACTTCCCAAAATATATACCTAATATGGATCATCAGAAGGAAATTGTAAAGAAAGGATTGAATTCATCAGTCAAATGTAACAAGGAAAGGTATATATATATAACTTGAATTTTGAATTATAATATCTAATTGATATACATGACAGTAAAAGTGACATGTTATTTCGACCATATCAAATTAAAAAACAAAAAGAATACTAAAGCTCAGGTATAACTAGTGGTAAATATCAATTTTTTTTTTAAATTTTAGGATGATGATGTCATACCACAGGTTCACTTGTGCCTGCTGTACAGCATAGTTACGGCCCTTTATGTCACTTTGAATAGTGAGTCCACGATGGATGTGTGGGATACGGTGGATCTGTACCTCCTCATCTCCATCTTTCAGCATCAAGTCAAGCAAGCTCATGTTAAATTCATCAGGACGATGGTCTCCATGGCCACGACCTCGCTCACCTAATCATGTACCAACAACATTTAATGCTATGAAAAACATATTATGATCTGTGAAATATGCCAAAGGCCAGACCTATTGTTTAGATTCAATAAAGGCTTTATTCAAGCGTATCACATCATAAACATTTTAAAACTAAGATTCAAAATATTAATTTACATTACAAGGGATTTGAACTCTCATGACTAAGACCTGTAACTTATATCTGCATTTGAGATATCTGTGCACTGAACATACTTGTGTCATTGAAATCTCCTTATAATAAATCCAGTAAGAGGAAAGACCTGTATTACTGAAACAATGATAGTAACCTTTAGTTCTGGAATGCTGTTGAATGGTGTCTTTAACACTTGTGGGTTTTGCTGCAGCAATAGTCCCCAGAAAGCCCTCGCCTTTGTCTGTGATGATTCCTATTGAAGACCTACTGAGACTCATATCCTTAATGATCAGCTGATGACGTATGCGCCATTGACACTGTCTCAGTTTAGGCAGTGATGCTCGCCATATCAACACCTAACAAAAATAAAATGTTTAGGTTTATTTTTAATGTTTTCTGATGAGCTCTTAAATACAAGGTTATGTGACCTGTTACTGCAAAATCATATATTTTTGTAGTTCTTCATTCCTTGGACACTTAATTTTGTGGATAAATATGGCTTCATAAATCCACTTTTAATTTTGATAGTTTGTGGACATGAATTCATTGAGTAACAGTACCAACAAGAGATCCCAGAGGGATCTTGGTGCCCACCATTTGAGGATCTGTTTTCAGTTCTTGAAGATTTGTTTATTTTTTTTTGTTTGTTACAGGTGTTGTAAATGTTCATGAACTGGTCTTCATTGAATGTACTCAATGATGGCACAAGATATTTTTATTAAGCACCTATTAGCAAATATCATTTGAAAAAGATCCCAAAGTATCATTAGATAGCAGTCAGTTACAGGTGGATAATGGACAATATGCTTGTGCTGTATTACTGTCGACATCCAAGATGGCTGCCTGTGGGCCACCTTGATTTCTAATCAGTCCAAAAAAGGTACAATGCACAACTAGGGACCAAGGGGAAACTGCATATGAAATTTGAGAAAGATCCATCCAGTACTTTCCTAGAAATAGCGGTAACAAACTTTTACATCCAAAATCCAAGATGGCCACCTGTCGGCCATCTTGAATTCGAATCAGTCCAAAAAGGTATAATGCACAACTTGGAACCAAAGGAAACCTGCATATGAAATTTGAGAAATATCCATCCAGTACTTTCCAAGAAATAGCAGTAACAAACTTTTACATTCAAAATCCAAGATGGCCACCTGTCTGCCATCTTGAATTCTAATCAGTCCAAAAAAGGTACAATGCACAACTAGGGACCAAGGGGAAACTGCATATGAAATTTGAGAAAGATCCATCCAGTACTTTCCTAGAAATAGCGGTAACAAACTTTTACATCCAAAATCCAAGATGGCCACCTCTCGGCCATCTTGAATTCGAATCAGTCCAAAAAAGGTACAATGCACAACTAGGGACCAAGGGAAAACTGCATATGAAATTTGAGAAAGATCCATCCAGTACTTTCCTAGAAATAGCGGTAACAAACTTTTACATCCAAAATCCAAGATGGCCACCTCTCGGCCATCTTGAATTCGAATCAGTCCAAAAAAGGTACAATGCACAACTAGGGACCAAGGGAAAACTGCATATGGAATTTGAGAAAGATCTATCCAGTACTTTCCAAGAAATAGCAGTAACAAACTTTTACTTCCAAAATTCAAGATGGCTGCCTGTCGGCCATCTTGAATTCGAATCAGTCCAAAAAAGGTACAATGCACAACGAGGGACCAAGGGGAAACTGCATATGAAATTTGAGAAAGATCCATCCAGTACTTTTCCAGAAATAGTGGTAACAAGAATTGTTTACGGACGGATGGACGGACCACGGACCACGGACGCAGGGTGATTTGAATAACCCACCATCTATTAGATGGTGGGCTAATAAAATCTGTAGATGAAATCAAAGTTCTTCATAAGTCAATTCAAACAATATGCCATTTATAAGAAAATCTCTTGATGAAGAATAACAACTCCAGCAAATCAGTGGGTTAAGTTTTACCACAACTTCCCTCAAGATTGTACACTTAAATGTTTCTGTCGAAATATTCACTGTAACTAGTGTAAGACTTACATTTCCCGATTCACTGAGTAGAACAACCATTAGCTCAGATCCTCCTTTCTCCTGGATGATATCTAGGTCAGTGTTATGGTCAAGATTTCCTCCAGACACTAACAATTTAGTGATGTCTTGTAACCTGAAATAACAACCAATACAGTCATGTTTGGGCACATACAGTACACATTGTTTTTTCGACCAACTCAAATGTTGTTTCACTTTTTTTGGGTTTTTTTTGGCAATATCAAGAGGTCAATTAAAGTTTTAAAGATAGGTTGATTATAATTTTCCTACCTTAACTTTACCTGAAGAAATAATTAAACATAGAAGTTGTTGTCTTACTTTGAGGCTATTTTCCTACACTGGTACTCGTGTAAGACATACAGGTCACCTTTGCCTGTGAGAATAACAATGGCAGCATCAGAACTTGCTGTCAAGTTTATCACTACATCACTGTGATTGAGGGAAGCAACCTGTCTGGGCTGGCTCTGCTTCTCAGTGCCCTTCGAGTGACCTTCAAATAAATGGTACCCAAAACTGTGAACATAATACACATAAATCCTGTTTTGGGATATTCACAAGAACCTTACTATGTGTATCGCTGCCAGAAACCAGAGGAAATAGAAGCGATAACTTCTACAGCCTTCATCTTTCTTAACCCTATTAATGTTTTATCAAGGTATAATGTCTATGAGCATGCATTTTTTGAGTACAAGTGTATTAAAAAATATTGTTAATGGAATTAATAACCGATTAGGATATTCATATTCATGCGAGTAGAATATTTGCATGCTTTAGATATCAATTTCACTAAGTTACAATGTATGTGTATCAGAGTGGGGATGTCTTCACATGTGCTGTGATGAAATTTTTTATATTCGTACTTATAACTGTTTATTTAAATAAAAGATGTTTTCATTGCATAAAGTTTTTACCTATTTATTACTTATTCATTACTGTTACGAAATGCAATGCTATGAGACACATATCCAGTAAAGAAGCAATGAAAATAGGGTAATTCTTCCATTTATGATGTTTCAGTTCACAGAAATACTGTTAAGTAGAAACCATCAGATAAGTCAAACATTTCATTTGGTTGAGTTTGACTTATCCATGTTTTACTGTAGACAGTACGTAAGGAAATCTTACATAGATATAGATAGTAAGGAAATACCAACTCAATTTTAGAAACAAAAGTACCAAAATAATGATTAAAAACAGTTAATTTTAACGGTATCTGTTGGTCAATGGCTGACTTACCGAGTTGTCCAGCATTAAGTCCAAAAGTGAAGACAGAATCAGAAGTGAACATGGCTGTGTGGAAGCGACCTGCACAAACACTCAGTATCCGCTTACCCTTGTGACTCTTTGTTGTTACCTAGGAAGATTTTGTTGTGAGGTGAGTAAACTCTGTCTCTAATGGAAGATTTATCTCATAACATTCAAGTTTTTCTACCCTCGGCAGTTCTTATCATATATACTGCTTCTATAGAGCAAACAAAGGATAATTGTTACAAGACTTCAATAAGAAAAGGAACTGAACAACAGCTATAGCTTTTACAGCAGAGCTAGATGTACCTGTATATATATTAACATTGTTTGTTACAACCATGGTGTTTACATGCTGAAACTTACCTGCTTGGGAATCAAACTTTTCCCAGTAGAAGGTATAGGGAACTGACCAAGCTGGTGGTTGTCATTCATTCCACAGGTGAACACAGCACCACTGTCAATAAATTTAATGAACATCATTTGATAAATTATCTTGTTTACATTTAAGAACAAGAAAAGACTTTTGTTAATCACTAATAAACATATGATTGTCAAATGACAGGTGAAGGGACCAACTACAATATGAAATTATGGATGTCATTTGTTTAAAAGTTCTTTAACTCTGAAGATATTTTCTAAAGAGGTTTGTTTAAACATGTAAGAAGAACTAATCTTGGACATGTTCTGTTGCCCTAAACTAAAAATTTGAAGTCTAGCCTATCTTTTAAGATATTTTCTGAAGACACTTGTTTAGGCCTTTAAGAAGAACTCATCTTTAATTGTTCTAATGCCTACAAGTTTTAATCCTAGCCAAATCGAGTCACTCCTTCTCCAGGCATTATTATATTGTCATTTCAAACTTGTCTATTTTCCTTGGTTCTATTTTTGAGCTTGGCTGACAGATTGATTATCAAAGTGAAGTACAATAACACATTACTGATCCTCTAGTGTCTTCCAATCCAGGCTGATTACATTAATGCATCAAAATAGAACAAAAAAAGCAAAGAAAAGCTTATATTGTGAACACTTATGGGACGTAAAAATAATAATGATAAATGGGCCTTATTGTAAAAAATAGGCAAATTTGACACATACCATATCAGTGAGATCTTTTTCACTTGTGACACATGACGTGTGCCTAGATTTATCACTGATCAATTTCTGGAATAATAGCTTAATATGTATTTTACTTTTAGAATGGTGTATATGCACAATGGACTAATATTAAGTAATAAGACATCATAATATCCATACCTTTGCATCAAAAGAACTGTGTGATCTTGTCCTGCTGCAACTTGAATACAAACTTCATCCTTGATGGCTTCGACTAGCTTTGGTACCTGTAATGTTAGCCAAATACTATAGCTAAAAACTACTGTGATACAATCTTAGTCATACTGATAAACTCCTTTAAAATAATTAAAAAACTAGACAAGTTTATGTAAAAACAAAAGCCCCCTCTCCCTTTCCCCAACTGGCAACCCAGGAGAAGGGTTGAGAAATTGGAATATGTAGGTAGTTTCAAGGGCCATTACTCTTGAAAAATTAAAACTGAAGAGAAGTCATATATTTCTGTAGTGCTCAATTTTCATGAATTTTAAAAAAGTCATTTTAAACTTGTGTTTAAATATAGCTCTATAAATCAATTAAATAAATCTTAATGAATCGTGGACATATGAATTTGTGGATGAAGAGTACATGAAAACTGCATGCCCGACCACCGAGGGAAAAACTGCAGCTTGTAATGTGGGAAAAACAGTACCCACAAAGTCAAGGAAAACAAATCCCCCACTTAATGATTTCACAATAAGTAAACATCTGACCTGATTTAATCATATAATGTCATACCAAATCTCAATTCAATCTCTTTATCTCTCAAATGTTAAATGAGAATAAAACCCAAAATTATTTGGGAAGGATGACTTAAGGGGTAACCATGATTTCATAATAGGGGTATGAAAACTGCATTTCAATAAAAATATTGAACAATTCACATATTGCACCATGCTAAACTCAAATGACAAATCAAATCTTCCTATATCTTGTAGTGTAATAACTCTTACTTGTAGGTCAAATTAGAGTTATTACACGAAACAACATAGGGTATTTTTGAAAAATTATTCCTGGGCTAATTATCCAAGGACAAAAAAGAACTTACAACACAAGTTTCCTCATCCCCATGGCCGAGTCGGCCTCCTTGGCCATGTCCACAGGTGTAAACCAGACCCGTTGTAGTTAGGAACACTGTATGATACTTACAGAGGACCACCTGAAACATATCACTGTTGTCAACACAAAGAAAAGTCTCCACTAAAATAAATTATTCTGTTCAGGTGTATAGCATAATTGGAGTCTTAGCTCGAAATCCCATGGCTGGCTCAGAAATTAAAACAGTTCAAGCAGAAAGTTTCCAACCTTTCAGTAAACATATCTGAATTTTCAATTCATCACAATTTCTACAATGAATGCAACATCAAAATTAATAATTGGAACAACACCTTACATCTTTTTAGTCCTACTGTAAATGTGCATGAGGACACAGGTTGAAGGACGGTAACTGCTTATATCATTTTCTTGACCCCAACAGATCAATCATACACACATTTAAATATCAGAAAGAAAATAAGTCTATGATGGAACACCCTCAATAGAAATGAACATGAAGCAAATACATGAAATGCTGACTTTTTCAATGATCTGAAAATAGACTTCTGCTCTTTTTTTTCTTAGATTCAGATTTTAAAAATACCTGTATAACCAAAGGATTCTGTATATCTTACATTTTTAATGATGATGTTTTGCTTTCTGAAAATCTCCACAGCTTCTGGATAGGATCGTCGATTTTCGCTAGAATGTCCAAGGGTAATGTTTGAGTTATCTCCCCATGTGAAAGTTTCAGTTGGATCTATAACATAAGAAATTTATGTACATTTCAGAGGTCAACTTTGTTGACATGACAAAAACAGTATCATTACATAGGGTGAATAATTTAAAAGCATTCAATGCTTACCTGTGGATGAAAAGGACACATAATCTGGTCGATCCTTGGACAACAAGTCCAGAGGTCCTAGTCCTTCATGGTCTCTGGTGTACATGTCACTGTTATACTGTCACAACAAAACAGCAATTGTTAAATTCATTTCATATTTCAAACTGTAGCAATTCATTTGATGAAACACTGCACATGATACACAAGGTTTCCTGAACTATTTTAATGCATCTGATATATTAAACAGTAAGCAGGAAGATGTTTCAAACAAATATTATTGGTTGCATATCATTTCTGACCAAACAACATTCTTCAAAAATATGATTATATCATAATTAATTTTCACAAATTACAACATTCTAATTGGTCATAATACTGATCTGGCCTGCTTTGCCACTGCCTGTCATTAATATTTAAGCTTATACTGCATGAAGATCTGAAGCCAGGTGTGTCAATTAGTTACAAAGTTTGTTCAAGTTTAAACTATTTATAACACTTGGCTGACTATGCATGCTGCAACAATATGAACACAATATGTATTAAACTCATTGAATCCTCTTGTGAAAATTTCTATTAACATTGTTATTTATGTTTACCAGAATTTCTGTATCTTCGTAATTTAAATAAAAAACACTGATGACAACTAGAACTGATTACACAAGTATATATAACATGGCCATATAACATGTAAGGACAACGAATGAGCTTTCAGAGGCATAAAGCTGCTATCCCCAATCCATATCTAAACCCTAATTCACATTTTGTATAAACTACATTATCAACCAAAAGGAGATTCAATATTAAACATTCCGTCTGCACTTTACAAGTTAAATGAAACATGACAATCTCAAATACACAGATGTAATCCAAGAACATACTTAAACTGAATTGTAGATGCAAATGTCTGGAGAGTGAATAATTATGAAAAAAAAATGATTTATTGGATGATTAAATTCCTGTCAAAGTATGCTATGTGTGACGTTTATATTCGTGAAACAAAAATATGTCCATTAGTTGACATGCAAACCAGGTATGTATTTCTGTCATATCAAACAATATAGCTTGTTTTGTACTATTTAAATCTAAAGACATGTATCACCTGGAGTAGAAGTCGAATGGTAGAGAGATGGCCATAGAATGCTGCCCGATGTAATGCTGTCCAGCCTGACTCCAAGTCCTTGGAGGTCAGGTCACCATGCTTTTCATTTAACAACCATTCAACAATGTCTATTTTACCGCAGGCTGCAGCAACATGGAGTGGCCATCGTCCATAGTTGTCACTGAACTGAGTGGCAGAGTAACACATCTTGCTGTAGGCCTGGACTTCCAGCAGACTGCCCTTTGTAATAGCACAAAGAAACTCCAGAGCATGCTGTCGTGACCGACATTTTGGACCACATTCTGGCTCATATCCTGGCATTTTGCAGATGTCTTCAAAACTAACAAGTGATCTGATGTGACAATTTATTTTCTTTTTGTTAAATCTGTTGTTTATATTGTTCTATTTCATATCAATATGACAATGAGTGTTATCCTTGCAATGTCGAGACCTTTTCTTCCCATCTGATGCTGTGTCTGGTTATCAGTTGGCTGACCCTCGGCTTTCAGCTGCCTTGATATGTGGCTGGATACCAGCCAAACTAATGGATGCCCATCACAGGGCAGCCATCATCAGAAGTCCTCTTAAACAGCCATAATTGTATTAGTAGTACCTGAAATTAGAAATAAGGTTAAATGTATGTATTGTGTTATATATCAATCATATTCATACAGGTAAACCAATATGACCGAATGTAATGAAATTCCACAATTCTTTTGGCAGATGTTTAAAATTGTTTAGTTTGGTCTACAATGATACTTTTATTATTAATTTTTGTCTCGTCTTGATATGGAGTAGATGAATTTTATCAAACTGATGTGATTACTTCTGTGTATGGTTATAATCATTTATGTATTATAGAAATACCTATCCAACAAATTAAGCTCGAGATCTTGTGGCCATATTAGACAGGACTGTAGTGTTATTACCTACTAGACAGGTAATACAATGAATATAACAGTATATAGTAAATATCATATTCTTTTAATTCAACTTACTAATTGTAACTTAATATTCCATTCACAATCGTAATTGTTATTGTAAAATCAAACACATCTACATTTAAATTCAATGTGCTGCATGCTCTAGGCATTCTCCTTAAAACCACTGTTATTTCCAAAAAAAAGATGAAATGGCAAACTAGTGTGAAAGAACAGGGAAAATATACATTCCTGTTGAGTGCCCTGACTAGGAACTGAACCTGGGTCTATGGCATTACAATCGACCAGCTCTACCAACAGAGCCAAAGAAGCATGCTTTGCCAGCTGAGTGACAAAGATCATATTTAACACTATATACAAGCCTGTCTAGATTAATCTAAAATGCCCTTTAACCGTATGAATCCTGGATAGACCTCATTGTCTTTTGTCTCTCCCTTGGAATATGAATATATATGTAACAGAGGTCATTTTTCATCTCAATGCCTCCGCTAGGAATCGAACCCGGGACCCCTGGCTTACTAGTCTTACGCTCAACCAATCGAGCTAAAGAGAAGTTCTCTCTAGCCGAGTAGTATATTGCAGCTAGTATATTAACAAAGGGTTACATACTCCCCCTCCTAGAAATAACTCGTCCTTGAGTTTCCAGGGGTTACAGAGATGCTGATGGGACATGGCTAAGTACTATTCCCGGGCCCCTACATGGGCGCCAATGTGTCACACCATTAACTTGAATTCATTATGTGTTGAACGTTTTTTATTAATACCCCTGCTTTAGGATTACAACTACATCACTACACCGACTGTCGGGTTGTGTCAGTAACTTAACCGTAGCTATGTGTGGCGCCTGGACTCCCGAGGACGTCCAGAGCGACGTGGCTAATCTGTGATTCTGCCCAGCACCCAGGGATATCCCTAGTTTTATTACCCTACACACTCACTCTTGCACAACTTCCTCACCTGTCACACCTGGACATGTACACGTCTCAAGACAACACCATATAAGGACAGACACTGACATTACCTAACAGGTAACACCAAATAAGGACATACACGTAAATGCACGGACAGTAACGAATGCAGATTAAACAGGAAGTTACAGACACTTACTTCAATTTACCCTCTGACATATACATCATAACATTCTATAGATACATTTTACCATGTATATACCAGACACTTGCATCACAATTTTCATAATTATAGCCTGTAATAACTGTAATGATTTTCTTGTTGTTGCTGGTTATTTGTAGCCCACAAAGAAATGTTACTGTAAAGTTTTTCCAATATCCAATACATTTCTTAAGAAGCAAATGTAAGAGTAGAATTGTATAATGTTTTATTATTATTATTTTATTTATCACATATATGTTATATATGTCTCTAGTTATATAAGTAAAAAAAACTTTGATAAGTCTTATAAAAGCTGTCATACCCACCATTTTCCCTATTTGCATTACAATAAAAAATGAAAGCCATTAGTAAAACTATCAGAAGTCAACTCTACTTCAGTGTTCCTCGATCTACTTTCACAGTGTTAACATATTCTGACCTCAGTTAATTATCAGGTATATCGGGGCCACTATCAGTTAGATCTTGATCAGACGATTACACAACTTTCAGAAATTGCCATTTTCTAATCGTGCGATAACGCATAACGATCTTTTTACTGAACTTTATTTAAAATGTCCTTTGAGCAGTTAACAAAGTTTACAAATTTATTCATTCGAGCCTTCTGTACATAGATGATCATAAGTGGAGAAACTACGTTATGTAAACAGGGTTTCGAGAAAGCACAGCATCAGCAAAAATATATGTTTTGTATTAAATCATAAAATTGGAGATGCTACCTGGATTAAATTTCAATGGAGTAGAAAACAAAGCAAACATTTTTCCTTGTGGTCATAATAACTTTGGAAGACATCGTAAAATGTTCAATGACAGATGGAACTCGCCACTTTAGTGCCACACGACGAACACGAAGAACACTCTCCAATCCAACATCACAGGATGTTATTATGTTGTTTAATTTCAACAAAAAATCGAGTTAAAGTATCCATTTAAAATATTTTTGCTATTCATACAATAATAATAAATTCTAAATACTCTAAATACTGAAAACATGGTGATATTTGTTAATGTGTGTGTTGGTGTTGAGAGTAACAAAAAATAAAATTAGACTATATTGCAAAGCCGTAAAATAATCTCCGGAATGGAAGAAGGATTGATTTTGGATGATTATTAACAATTGAATGTGAATATGTTTATGTTTAAACATATATCAATAATTCAAAGTAATACTATGTAAGTAAAGTGTGATTATGTTAAAATATTTTCGTGTGTCAATATTAATTCTAGTATATATTCCGGATCACAATGTTCAGTTAGGTCATCTTAAGATGTATTACTGTCTACTTTCATTTTTCGATAACAAATTGAAAAGGCAAAACCGCTCGAATTAAAGTTGTGATGGAGGGAACATTTCATTAAGAAGGCAGAACGATATATAACACCTTTTTTATCACAAGTACACATGAATATAGTCTAGGTATATATAGGATCTCAGCAGCATGATAATCACGTAGTTAAAAGGGAAGAAACCCCCTCCCCTCTTCACCTAAAATATGTGTCTGCAATGAAAATTCATGAGCACAATCGGTAAAAAAGTCATTGCTTGTGAACCCATTAACTTGAAAAATATATTGTGTTCATGACAATTGTTTTCAAATTCGTTGTTTCATGACACACACTCTAAGTAATCTTAACCATATATATACTAATTTAAGCTGTTTTTGTTAACCTATACATCGTTTGTATAAAAAGTCTTTAATTTCTTGCAAAGAAAAGTCACTATTTTTTCATTATTTAAGACAATTCTGATATATATCTCAATAAAATAGTTATCAATTCAACATTAAAGTTTTAAAATGAAACATTTTCATGTTGGTATATAATGTTTTTTAGTTGATTATCATTTTCCGTAACATATTGGAGAGGGAGGTAAAGTTCTGAGACAAAATGCCTTTCTTCTGATTCTGAAAGTTTGGAATGAAATGCAGTTTTACAAATTTTAGCACACCTCTCGGGTCAAAATTTATGTCACTGCATAAGTGACCACTTATGTCACCTTTTAGCTCACCTCTCAGGTCAACATTTAGGTCACTGCAGAAGTGACCACTTATGTCACCTTTTAGCTCACCTCTCAGGTCAACAATTAGGTCACAACTTAGGTCACTGTTTATATCGCTATTAAGGTCATCATTTAAATTACCACTTAGGTCAACTCTCAGATCACTATTTAGGTCTCAGCTTAGGTCACCATTGAGGTCAACTCTTGGATCACTATGTAGGTCACAACTTAGGTCACTGTTTATATCGCTATTAAGGTCATCATTTAAATTACCACTTAGGTCAACTCTCAGATCACTATTTAGGTCTCAGCTTAGGTCACCATTGAGGTCAACTCTTGGATCACTATGTAGGTCACAACTTAGGTCACCATTGAGGTCAACTCTTGGATCACTTTGTAGGTCACAACTTAGGTCACCATTGAGGTCACCACTTAACTCACATTTAGGTCTCCACTTAACTCACCATATAGGTCACCACTTAACTCACCATTTAGGTCACTACTTAACTCACATTTAGGTCACCACTTAAGTGATCACTTAGGTCATGTAGGTCACCATTTAAGTTCAGCTGTACTGCCCTTCTATGTGTTAACATTGTATTTCAACAATTTTCCATCAGCACCAGAAAAAGAATAGAAAAATATATACATGTATCTATTTATGTTGTTTGTTTATTAGCTAAATACATGTATGATATATTATAAGTGTAACATGTTTTATATGGTAAAAGAAAAAAGAAGAATGATGTTGTATTAAGTTGCTATCATAACATTTTATCTTCCTCTGTATGTTTGTGTGACAGGGAAGCCATTGGAGTTATTGGAGGGTGATGACAGAACAGTGAATGGGATTATTGATTCTCTGGAAACAAGTGGATGCTTTGATTTAAGTATGGTAAAGAGTATTATATGAAGGGACCTTTTATCTTCTTGATTGACCATTCATTTACATATATCACATAGGGGGAAAAACCATCTCCTGATTGTCAATTTGTTATAAGTATATTTTGTCAATATGGATTGTCATGGTTACCTAGAGAAAACCGACAAAATTAATTGATTCAATTATATAATTAGAGTATTTATTCAATGAAAATATTGATCATGATTCATGGCTAAATATAGTCTCTAAAAGAACAGCACCAACAGCAGTCCTACTGTGATCAGCTGATACTAAATCAGATAAGATTCTCTGAGCTGTGGTTTTGACAGGAGATCTGTTATTTGTCAGATATCATTTAACATCAGAACGTTGATATTGTACACGTTGTGTGTCCATGTACCACCAGTATACACTCTATAATAAGTTTGTAGAAAATTGAAATCTCAATACTGTTTAACTGGTAACATGTTAAGATGTAAAGGACAGGCAAGAAGTAAAAAAAATAATTTCATATAACTTTGAATGTTATTTTAATCCGATGTAACAGTAAATTTTACATTGATGTATGTATTGGTGAGATAAGTTGTTTCCATAAACTATTTTTTGACTCAAACATTTGCGACTTGTGGGCACCAGGAAAACACTTACCTTTAAAGACTAATGTAATTTTCTTCAATTGTTTGAAGGCTGTAAATAAAAGTGGATCAACCTAATAACATTCAACTTTAATTATAAAACAAGTTAATCAAGGTTGTTGATCATTCTTGTTGAAGTATGCAGAGGGTTATTTTCTCACTACCCAGGATGAACAAATTTATGTTTTTTTTTTAATTGAATTGCTTTGTACAAAAAGCCTTGGGAAGTGGTTTGATAACTCCTTGAATGACAGGAACAGCATTGCAGGTATGATGAAACAGGCTGAGAAATGAATGAGGGCTGTTGATGAAAAAGAACTCTCTGGTAAATATAAGGCGTAGATTTCATGGTGTTCTCCCAAGAATGTTGTGGTTTTAGCTCCTCTATGAATAAAAACTCATCTCTGTGGAGGCAATGGATGATTAGCAGATATCTGCAGTGTTGGTTGAGAAGTTAGTGACAGAGGAGATCAAGGTAGCCAAGATACAACAAGTAATTATGCTGAGGGATAGCGTAGATGACAAGGTCAAAGGAGCAAAGGTAGAGACAATGAAAGGAAGGAAATGGGCTGCAAAGTGGGCACTCGGTACAGCAGAGGCTAGTCTCCAATCTGGGGATGTTGTTGGAACTGGACATCAGGTTGTCTTGGCTGGTAAGCTATTCCAAACCAGGATGGGGCAGAACTGACCACGGAGAGCACAGAAACATGACTCAGGCAGAGATAAGAGTGGGGGTTGAGGAGGCTAAGCAAGTGAGAACTGCTGGTTTGTGACAGCAGGAAAGCTTTATCAATTGGGAGGGTGTGAGACAGCAGAAAGTATCCTTGGGTGACAACTTGAACATTGAAGGCAAGACATCATGTTCTGGTAAGTCCTTCTTTCTAGGGAAATTCAAGGACAACCTTGCATTTGCACAAGTTAACATGCTAAATTGGCTTATATTCTCACATTATGCCAAATTGCACTGACTGACAACAGATATATATGGCAAGTCCAATTTCTTAGAAAGATAGCTAAAATCACCTGAACGGGCCGGATGAAAGCAGCAACCAATTTAAAAAAGACTGAAAATTGATCAATTTTATGAAATCTGAAGGAGAGAGCAAGGGAAGTGTGGAAGCAAGCAGGATACAAGCAATAGCAGGAACTGAGAGCAGAATTGAGCAATGGCAGAATTACTATGGAGAGTTTGCATTCAGCCTGTGGAGGTCAGCTGCAGGGGTTTCTCTAGCCAGTCATTTTAGACCCTTACAACTGCTAGTGGCAGTAGGAGAAGACCAAAAGAAACTGCAGAGGTTGCTTTATGCTGAATAAAGATGTAGGGGGAAGAATAGTGGAGCAGTCACCAGCAACAGTGTGAGGCTTAGGGATGAAAGGTAGGCATCACTGCTTGTAGTGATGTAGCAGCTTTAGTGCCAAAACATCTTGGGTACTAGACTGCAACAACAACATCAAGAGCTGACCATTCCCTAGTTAAGCCTTATCATCTCAGTTGGCACACTTCTGGAGGACATTTTGGAAAGTGCAGAGGAAGGAGAATTCACCTGATAATGGGACTGGCCAGTGTATTCAAGGTACTATAGCAAAATCTTAACATTGTTTTACATAGCTATTTTGGGCATAGTTTTATTTATTTGGTCGTCTGACGGAAGGGTCGTGCTTCCTCCGTCGTCATGCTCCATGCACGGTGTGTAAACTTTCCATTCAAATTACTTCTTCTCAATAACCAGAAGGCCCAGAGTGCTGATATTGGGCCTGTAGCATGCTAGGATAAAGGACTACCAAGTTTATTGATTTTAATGACCTTGACCTGCTTTCAAGGTCACAGGGGTCAAATTTGTTTAAATCTTTAAAAGACTTCTCAGCCAAAAGGCCTAGAGTGCTGATATTGGGCCAGTGGCATGGTGGCATAATGGCATAAAGGGTTACCAAGTTTTTAAATATGAAAAAGCTTGACTAACTTTCAAGGTCACAAGGGTAAAAAATGTTAAAATGTTTTAGTAACTTCTCAATAACCAAAAAGTCCAGGATGCAGGTATTGGGCTTGTAGCATGCAAGGATGTAAAGGGCTATTAAGTTTGTAAATATAAATGACCTTGACCTGCTTTCAATATCTCAAGAGTAAAATGTGTTGAAATATTTAAATGATTTTTCTCAATTACCTAAAGGCCTATGGTACTGATATTTGACGTGTAGCATGTCTGGATGAAAGGCTAACTAAGTTTGTTCACCTTGACCTACCGTCAAGGTCACAGGGGTCAAATGTGTTGAAATGTGTAAACAAGTTCTTCTCAAT